TCCTTCTTTCATTCCGTTCGAGTCGCGCTTGCCGCTCGCCCTCCAGTCGCGCGCTTCGTCCCCGCAGCCGCCCTTCCGCAGTTCGCACGCATTTCGGGACGCCCCATTCCGCATTCGGGTTCACGCGAACGCGTACCGTAAGTCCCTTTAAACTCGCGGTCTCAGGCACCAGCGCCCACAAGGTAAGGTTCACTCCCTGATTTGGTCGGATTTAACGCTAGGATTCAAAGGTTTTACTCGTGAAAGGTGTCTTTTGTCCCGCAAAGTCACACTATAGGAGAAGTTGGAGAAAATTAGGAAACTTTGAAAGCTCATATCCTCAATATGCAGGGTGTCTACATGTCCGGAATATCCGGAAAGTCCCGGAATAGTCCTGATTTCTTAAGGGCGGAAGTACTGAAATCGCGCGGAAATTACGCAAGAAGGTCCGGAATTTTTTTCATTTTTTTGTCATTTTTGTCGCATTTTAAGCGAGAAATTCAAATTGATGAAATTTTTCGGTTTTCGTTAAATGGAGGTACTGAAAAAGTACTGAACTTTTCTGTCAAGAAAATACTGAATTTCTTGGGAATGTACTGAAAAAGTACCGTAAAAGTAATGATTTTTGGCTAGCCTGTTTTAGTAGACGCTCTGATATGAGACGGAATGTGGAAGAGTGGCTCCATTGGTTTTTTTGTAAATTTTCCTGTCGGAAACCACCCGTGAAAGTAAAATTGAACGTATTTATGTTAAAAGAAGGCATAAACATAGGGTTTGCGTGAAAGATAGTTCCTTTTTGAGTAATGTGCGTCTAAAATTTTGGAGACTGCATAACTTTAAATCGTGCTGGATTTAACCTATTTTCACCTAGCACTTCATGCTTGTTCCTTACTTGCTTAGTCACAAGGAAATAAGCATTCCAAAATCGCTGCCCCCAAAATCTGCTACCATAGGCACACGCGTAATCCGTCCCTCGGGAAACATGTTTCTTGTTACTAATATCGTATCGCGCTGAACTGACTGCAAGTATCACGGTCATCTTTTCTCCGGATTGTTCTCTCATTTTTGAAGAAAAAATGTTCGATTACTCATTACTGGTGAGCCAAATGTATACAATTTTCCACGAGGCAGCGATGTTTGACAGAGACGCCTTTTTCGAGTAAAACTCACAAATCGTCAGGAATTTTGGAAATTTCCTGGCCGGCTTAAAGCTGTTCCCAGTTCCTATGACTGTGTGACTTTATTTTTAAAGTTTGAAATAGAGATACGCATTCTCTGCTCGAAGGAGTGAATGACCCAATATTCTGCTCCTCAAACTTTGGAATGTATGAAATTTCAAAGAAGAATTAATCAATTTTCAGCCCCTAGAAAGTAGCAATTAATCATGAAAACGCTGGGTGTCAGGACTGGGAGAAACATTCAACAAAAGGGATAACGTCTCGGTAGAGTCCACAGAAAATAAGTTTCTGCATTTCTAAAGTGCGACAAAAGATCTGCCTTCTTGATTCTTGTATTTACTTCCAATGCTAAACTGAAGCCAGCTGATTTTCTGTCGCATTCTAAAGTGCGTAGACTTATTCGACGTTGACTCTATCAAACCAGTTCATTTTGTGCGTGCAAGTTCTTGTAGTCATAATTTGCAAACTCCTGGCGATTTCCAAAATTTCCGAGCCCTCAGACTCCTAGTAATATTTCTTTAATTTCATATAAATGTACCTCGTACTTTTCCGTTATCACACAGTGAATTTCATTCAAAGAATTCGAGGAATAATCATTAAATACACGAGTAAAAAAGGGCGGAAACATTTTTAATACGAAAATGTTTACAGAAGTGTTGTAATGGCACCAATAATTTCATTAATTCGTATGGATATTTATTTTTTTATAATCAGCATAATTATTATTCATTCGCATACGCATGAAAGTTCCACGTTGAAACTGGAAACCGGAGCACAGGTTTTTAATTTTTTTTCATTTTACTGTTTCCATAGCTGAGAAACTGTTTCACCAAACCCAAGTATACCATTTCTTTTTGTCTGCAAACAGTTCCGTCGGAGTTCTCTTGAATGAAGTTGGCTGTAGGTGTCTAATTTCATATCTTACCGAGTGCCAATTTCACCATAAATCCGTAACTTAAAGTCACAGGATATTTTTTACAAATATTAATATTTGAAATAGCGAGTAGGCAATAGTCGTGTTCTGATCGTTTGTCTTCAATTTTTGGCGGACAACCGTTGAAGCTCTTAAGGTTCTGTTACGCGATCAAATTGAGCCATCAAACTGAAGCTCTGATTGATGGAAAAAGACCTGAGGTGAGGATGCGACCAATGAGATTAAGTGTCTAAATATTTGAATTTTATCAGTCATACATTGAAAGCTCATTTGGATTACATTTTGTAATTAAGAACCACTCTCTCTGGCTCCTCTAGAAAATCACCTCTCTGCATAAAGAAACTAATGGCATATATGTTGTTTCTGAAATGAGCCACAAATAGCGGTTCTTTATCGCAAAATGTACTCCATTTGAGAGCATGAAAGTTCGCCTTGACAGTTCCGAGTTCACCAGTATGTTGCAACTGTGAGAGAATGGTCGTATTACGATTCAATTTATGATGAGCTCAAATGAGAGGGTTAAGTGCGCCTTCAAATTTTAATGTATACTAAACACCGCATCCGTACTTGAATAGTAATATTCGGAAGTACATCGGGCTTTTTTTTTTAAGCGTGCCAGTAGGGCTCGCTTTTCGAAATCACTCGGTTGTACCATACTACGGAACACCGATCAACCCATGCTATTCAACGGGTGTTCTAAATATGTTTTCCTTGACCTGTTTTTTTTGTCTTTGAACGTCATACTCTTAAGCCCTGATAGTTTTCTAGCAAAAAACCGTATTAACTTCTCGTGGAGACCCTTGAGAACATTTTCCTGTCAAAACCGTATTATTTTATTTGACCGGTAGCAAAAAGTTCGATGAAAAATTTGTCGATCAGGGCCGGATTTACCTACTTGCCGCCCATGGGCCGCCTGTATTTTGCCGCCTCCTTCTCATTCGTTTTGAAACATCAATAAAAACAATCAAGTGAACGTGCCGGAAGGGGAGGGGTGCATAAGACGCGTTTACCTACTCGTGTTGAACTGTTGGATACATTTTTTGCGAAAGTCCTGTCAACACTACCAGCAAAATTGCACGGAACTTTGCGCGAAAGTCAAGTTCCGTAAACCTATCTCTGTGTGGACAAAGCCTTCAATTTATAAGAAATGAACCGAAAAATTATGAAAGAACAAACATAAATTTGGTTTAATAATTTTAACTTCCGCGCGCCGCTGCGCCGCGCCGGGCTGATCGCACTGTGTTTGGCGCAATGCGTGAAGTATTCCTGCAGTCTTGTAGGCGCTATGCGTTTCACGCCAACTGCTCCTGACCGCGCCGTGTTTGACGCAATGGGTGAAGTATTCATGCAGTCTTGTAGGCGCTAATATGTGTTACATGACGACAGTCGTGCCGAGGGCTTGTCCTTTTCATCTCAAGTCCTCATCATCATTCCTCTATGCGCTGAGCTCCGGGCCAAATTGCGTGTTAAGTTCCTCATCTTATCTCGACTAATTAAAGATGCTGTCTCTTGTATCGCCGAAAAACGACAAAATTAGAAATTACTCTACTCTCAGGAAAGAGAGGTTTTGTCCCCTTTTCTCGTTGATAATTTCTTTTTTCTGAATCCGATTTTTTTGAAACTTACATTTAAAAAAATTGCAAAATTCGCCGTCCCCTAAATTTGCCGCCATGGGCCGCGGCCCATGTGGCCACCCCGTTAATCCGGCCCTGTTGTCGATGATAAAAATTTCGATCGATTCGTGTCGATCGGATCGATGTCGATAAAATTGCATTTCGATTTTTCGATTGAACTGTGTCGAGTGAACCGACTTCGATCGAAACGATATCGACGTTAAAGTGGTTTCTGTTTAAGGATTATAAATTGAAATTTTCGAACGAAACTATGTCGATCGAATTTACGTCGATCGAATTTACGTCGATCGAATTTACATCGATCGAAGTTATGTCGATCGAATTTACGTCGATCGAATTGTGTTTCCATTTTTTTTTTTGCGATCACAATTACGTACCAAAAAGTTACGCTGTATAACGTGAACTTTCCGTCTAATGAACTTTAACGTGAAATTACATCAAACCCGGGGAGTCTCGACTATACTGCCGTGCTAAGGAAAAACGTCGTATGAGCCTTCAAGCGTTACCAAATTTCCTTTGATGAAACACGAATTTCCCAGTAAACTTATGAATATTTTCCCTCTAATTTTATAGACAATTTTGTTTCCAATTTCATCTGAAGTTTCTGAGAATTTCAAGGAAAAATATCCATAACTTTCCTCAAAAATAAACATTTTATCGAAGGAAATTAGGCGACTTTCGAATGTTCATACGGCGTTCTTCCTTAGCACGGCAGTATATTGGTCACCTCACACACCAAATGTGCAATGATGCAAGTCGCTCTCGAAGGGGTCAAGCAGGGATCAAATCCCTAGGGTCAAGGCCCAATTTACTGGCCGCTCCCTTTCGCTTAACCTCTACCTTTCTCTTTTTCTCGGTCAGTCGAATATCACTGCAGGGATGAAATACTGAAGGAAGGGATACTAACCACCTCCCCTCCTCCCCTCGAGTGCATTAACTAAAACCAACCGACGAAGAAAGCGAGAGGCCGGGCTGTCCCGTTGACCCTTTTCCCGGTGCACTTGGGTGCATTTTTACGTTTTCACCTTGGAATGCAAAACAAAATGATCGGGGATGCAAAGATGCGCTCGGCGCTGCCAAGTCTATCGGAAATTCTACTGGATTCTGAATCTCCGACGAGAGTGATCCGTAATGCGCGGCAACCGTGTGTCCAATTGAATTAGCCTATTAGGCAATCTCATGTAAATAAAGCGCTCAATCGGCCCCTTCAATTCGTGACGTAGGCAGTCCGTCTAGCCGCGTCTGTGTTTTGTTTTGTTTACGTTTTTCACTTTTTATTCATCTCCCTCCGGCCCAGGTGCATCTGAAACGCGCGCTTGATGTGTGCCTCCGCGTGCGATTACAGACAGTGCTCGCGCTCGCCATGTGAAACCCGAATAATTCGTATCATGTTGATATGAAAGCCTATTTGGTGGTTATCATATTAGTTATCGATCAGTGTTTTTTAATCAGTTTCGGGTGTAAGTATCTTCTCATCGAGTGTCGCTCTTCTTGCGTGGAAGGCCTGGATACCCGATCAAAGTGTGTGGCGGCTATGCGCGTGTTTTCGGGCTCAATATTATTCTTTTCCCGTGGTTTTCTCAGTGTGTTCTCTGGCGCTTCGGCGCATTTCTTTTTAACGATGTCATGATTTTATTTCTTAATATCACGGATATTTCCTCGAGTTTTTAATCGATTAAATAGTCACGTGATACTGGAACATCTATAGGGTGGCCTGCGTGGGTACCAGCGCATCTATTCGGCCGTTCTAAGGAAGAACACCGTATGAACATTCGAGAGTTGCCGGATTTCCCTGGGTAAAAAATGTATTTCTAACGAAATTCATGCATATTTTTTCTAGAAATTTTCTGATATTTTAGTTTCAAGTGCGAACAATATTGTCTGAAAATTTTTAGGGAAAATTTTCAAAAGTTTCCCAGGAAATTCAGTTTTCATCGAAGGAAATATGGCAACATCTGAAGGCTCATACGGTATTCTTCCCTGGCACGGCAGTATTGTTCATACTGTACTAATTGCGTACAAAAAATCTCAGGTTTTATTGTTTTTTTATTTTTATAAAATCATAAAAATTGAATCTGATAGAAATCTTTTCGGAAGTTCGAGATGATGATTTATAAATTGGTAATTTTTCACAATCTAACAAATTATTTTGGAGGGGACATTTAGTGCGTAGATGGTACGCTCTATACCCATCATTTATTCCGTTGTAGTGCTTTGATCGAGTATTCAGGCCTGGATGGATTTCTAGTTCGGTAAATAATTACAGCATCGTCAGGCACGATTCCTCAGCAAAAATTTCGCGCGAAAAAGAGCAAGCGTATTTTAAAGTTATCGAATCATTGCGTCGCGTCAGTGTCTATGTTATGTTATCAACTAGCATCGATGACTGAAATTTGAAATCGAAAATACGTTTACGGCGTTGCAAAAATCTCGTCATACTAAGTGTTTCCATCTAAAAGCTATTGGGCCGTAATTTTCGTCTCGTTTAAAGATTACCCCATGAATGATGTCTGTAGTAATTTGGGTTTTGTGTCCCTTCGAAAAATGTAGATCGGGAATTTTGAAACTCTGCAATCTGGGAGAGTCCCCAAGTTTAGTATTGAAATGTCGACTCGAGCATTCACCAAAATAATAATTAGTGCAAGCCAGGTTTCGCAAAACCTGTCCTCGGTTTCTGATACTCGGTATTAATAAACTCTCGAAAATATTATGTGTGCTTTGGAAAAACTCTTCGATTACAAAACGCACCGAAGTTAGCTCAATACGCAATTTGTCTTGTGTATTTAGTGGTTTTCTGATCACCGAGACGTGTTAGTTGACGGATACAACACTGCAAAAATTAGTCTTGTTCTTGTGAGACGTTCTCAGAAATGTGTACCTGTCTCTTTTCTTTCTTCTATTTAGAATGAGGAATTGTGTCTTCCGGTGTCTATTTTTTTAATACATATCTGAAAGTTGACATTGATTCCGAAGGAAAACTTTTATGGTTCTGATTATTAAGGCCCCAAACGAAGTCGGAAACAAACTCCTTCATGGGTTAGTTGCGTTTGTCACATAATCTCAATTTGATTATTTGAGCTTGAAAATTAGCCAAAAATACCAAGATCTGCTCAGGCGTCTATTTTCTACGTCTAGTATTAACGGAAATATTACCCTTCAGAAAACTCGGCGTATGACGTCATTCACTGCAGTAGTACATATCGTCTCCTTCCCGCCAAAGTATCGCAAGCGCCATGCGACGTTTTATAATTTCCGCCGCCATTTTATTTTTTTTATTGAGAAATTGTTCAAAGAAGCTGTCCGAAAATTTCACTGAATTTTCTCTAAGCTATCGATAAAATTCAATGAAATTTTGAAACAGATTCAACCAACAATTTCCTCGTAAAAAATTAAAATGGCGGCGGAAATTTTGAAACGTCGCATAGCGCTTGTGATACTTTGGACCGAAGGTGACGATGACGACGTACCATCGTTTCTTTCGCCTTCGATTGACAGTGCGGATTATCTCCGTTATTATTGGATAGGGAAACTTTGTGTTTGGACAGATCTTCTTATTTTTTGCTGATCTATGATACGGAATCTGTAAAACACTAATCTGTGACCAGCGCAACCGACCCATTGTTAGAGTCTTTTGTCCCACGCATCGTGTATATTCTATAATGATTGTGTGCATAAAAGTGGCAGGGTGGTGTGTGTTTTAAAATGTGTAAAGGGTATGCATTTGTGTGGTTGAATAAAATAATACCGTGCTGGGCTTGGGCTGACCAATCTTCCTTTCCGCGAACGATAGATGTCTCCTCCCCCTTCGACGCATTGCACCCCAAACCCTCCGGTATGAAAATGGTTCATTCCTTTTTTACGAAATGAACATTTAACCTGCTATATCTTTTCAAATACCAAATGCTAGTATTGAAAGTTTGGATATATCTTATCATTTCTCACTCATCTCAAATACAACAATCAAAACACGATTTATGAATTGCGCAACCACAATCTAGATTATTACGTGTTAATGATCGGAACATATTAATATTCTCAGTAACATATCTCTAGAATTTAAATAAATCCAAAGATTGGTACCTACTCCGACAGTGACATATGATGATAATTTACGCAGGTTATCTTCTTCACTTTTCGGAGCAAAACGGTTCGAAGTAACCCAATTTTTTACCCTCTCAAAAAATGGAAACTTTTTCAGAGCTCTCCTTTTTTGAAAATACTAACCTGAATAATTCTAGTTAATGGCTTGAGTCAAAGCACACGTATCCACGTCATGACTTTAAAAAAATTCACTCAACTACGTCTCGGAACACTAAATATTATTTTTCTTCAGAACAGTCGTAATTTTTACTATTTCCTTACTAATACCTACCAAGTATTTCAAAAATTTGGAAAGATAGTGAGGTCAAATCCCATCTGAGAAAATGTATTTATTCCCATCGGTAAAGAACTTTAATTTTTAATCATCACATGAAGAATGCGTTTTCCTTGTTTCAAGCCATTGATTACAACCTAACCATTCCGTGAATTTTTCTTTAAGTCTACGAGTTCCTTGGATTTTTAACTATTTGTTTGTTTTGTTTTCATCCCGGGCTGCCAAAATGCATGGAGTATTCTTCAATTCTTATTCAGTGACTTTCACATGATATAAAAAAAAATCTCTTCCTGCAATTTGGCAACCCTCTTCTAATTATGTGAGTGTGTGTGAGTGTAGGGTGTGTGTGCTAATCCAAAATTTACAAGGCGCCTAACCAGGGCAGGTTGGAAGAAGAGCAAAATCATCGGCTGCTACTGAAGCAATAAATATGTATATTGGCTTGCATTTACTTCCAAGCAGCCCTGGCCGATTCAGGTGCGGTATATGCAAGTAGTAATATTTTCCAAGTCCCCCAAAAGAATCTTGTGGGCTTATTATTGAAAAGACTACCAGTTGACTAGTTGTTTGAATATGCTGATGCTGAAAAAAAATGGTCCGTGATTTTGCGAAAGTCCGAAAGTTTTTGAAAATAAATTTAAAATAATTATATCATTTTTTCTGTCGTGTTATGTACGTTCATGAAATACCATCAATATATCTGCATATACACAGCATGCATATAATTTTCAAGTCTTTGTTGCAGAGATGTGTCTGAACGTTTTCTACTGCTTTGTCTGTGACTGGAAAGGGTTTTTTTTTTGTTTTTTCTTTAAAAAAAAAAAAAAAAACAAAACAAAAAAAATTACATATCCTCGTACAATATAGACCGAGTAAAATGTCAAAATTTCTCCTCGTCGACAAAACATTATTTTCCGGCCAAAGTTACTACTTGCAAATCGCACCTCATTCTCTAGTTTATAGTTCTCTGGAAATTTAGCTGAATAGGGGATGCGGATGCCAGCTTCTTTGACCGAAATTCTCTTCTTATATCGAGTTACGATAATTATGCAAAAGATTGAATCTTCCTCAGTCCACCCGAAAAGTCCGTACCAGCATTTTGACATCACTTTTTTGAATGTCTTAATTCGGCGACCAGCTGTAGATCTTAATAGATATCCCATGTTTTGGAGGTTTCTCCTTTTTTTACGCGAAATAATTGGGACATTTTTTTAAATGAAATAAATTTTTCAACTTTTGTTTTTAAAATTAATGACAGGGATGATACTTTGACATGGACTCTGCAAGTTTAAATTTCCAATATCACAAATTTTGTGCCATCCTCGAGACGAGAAGAAGTACCGAAGGTCTCCGTCCTTTCTCAGCGAGGTTTTTCAGAACTAAAACAGAGAGTGATTTGTGTCTCCTTTTCACTCCCAATATTCTTCCCGGTTTCCTAATCGCTTCTTTACGCATGGCTTTGACCTCGCAAGAGCTTTTCCCTGTTTATTTTTTTGGTTTTCTCCTGTACAACCTCTACAATCATTTTTTATTTTATCACGCAGACCTAAACCCGCTTTTATTTTGTTTTAAATAATATATACCATTGTTTGCATTGAGTATTGAGCGAACATTTTGCTCACTTGACGTTCACACTTTTTTTTTCTTCGGCTTGACTATTTACTAAGTTTCATTTTTGTAGCTCACTGAAAGTTAAACTGTGTTCCATACTTGTCGTCTTTTCTCTCTCTCTCTCTCTCTCTCTACCAAAAACTACTCTGTTGTACTCATAGTTTATACAAGACGTATCTCAAAATTTCAAGCCATATACGTAAAGTCTCGGTCAAGTATCTGTTTGTTTCTTTTTTTTATCCTACCGGAAGTAAAAAAAATAAAAAAGTAATTTTGAGGCTGCTTCCTCCATGAAATTTATACTGTCTCCTTTTTAGAATAACTCGTAAACTTTAACTGTACAAATTATATTTAAATAATTCAATTTTGTGTCAGCACTGGCAGGTACTCTTGCAAGTACATGTCGGGGTCAATCAATTTTACTCTACACTCGACTTTTTTTTTTTTTTTTTAATGTTGAAAAGAATTTGTATCTATGATTAGTTTCACGTTGTTTGGAGCCTTTTTAAAATTTGCTGAAAAGAAGGACTTGAAAATTACCTACCATTTTCAAAACAGTTCATGAGCCTGTGTCGGTATTTTTTTTTTAAATCTAGAATCATCGCTGAACCTCAGCAACCATGCTTTATTTGCATGCTTATCAGTTGCACAAAGACTTTAAGCAAACATTTTCATAGTTCCGGATAAGTTTCTCGTATCGACACTAAATTTTTACAAGTATGATAACCGTTCAATTGGTCAACTACAAGTGTTCTTGGGTAAAGTTACGATTTAAAATGTTTCTCTGCCATCACTCACTCAGAAATGGCGTCAAAAAATTAGTGTTTGATGCAAATTTTGCATTATGCTTCCAATGCTCTAAGAAATACAGTTACAGTCTGCACGGCACCATTCATGAGTCACTCAAAATTTTATGTTTTTTACTGTAAGTCATTAATTTTCTCGCCCATTCACTATTACTTAGTTTTAGAGGTATTAACTACTCTCATGCATATAATTTTCGATTTTTGTCTTCATTTTTTTATTCTTCTAAATCTATCAGGTGTCTCACAGCCTATTCACTCTATAGTTCCGAAGTTTCAAATTTTATTATGTCTCAGCTAGTTTAGAAAATCTGTGATTACGCGTTGAGCATGCTTGCGGCAGACTGGCATGCAGAAATTGTCGGTAATACGTCGAGTTCTGTTTCGCCATTTGGGAATTTGTGTTGTCTCACTCTGGAAATAATTAAATTGCGTCCTACTGACGAAAGAATCTTCGTGAATTCACATGTGGTGTTGGAATATTTGCAGTTCTTTCTCTTAAGTTACCCCTGCTTGTTCATTTACCAGGCAGTGTGGTCTCAATTGCACATGATGTCGATTAGGTCTTTCCTCTCAATTGTCGGCAAGACGCATAGCTCTGTATTCAGTGGTTTCTTCAAAAATAATGAAGACAACAAGCTATGATGAAAGCCAAGATGCTGAAACATTTGTCACTCTCGGTCACCAGTACCTGAATTTCGCGCATTGACTTTAAATGTTCTTCAAGCACAGCCAGCCTTCCTCGTCAACACATTTTTAGTCTCTCCAAAGAAAATCTTCGCCAGCTTTTTCCCTTTTTATTTTAACGCTTCTCCACCCACCTCTCATCTGTTCTTGCTCACACCGAAAAATTTTATTTTCTCCGCACCATATTCTCCTGCCGAAGTCATCATCGGACTTTTATCCCCTGATCTCCACTCTCCTTCCTCCCATTATCCACTTGATTGAATGAGTCTTGTGATCAGTGCGCTTTGTTTTGTCAGTGTTATCGATGGAATTCGATAGTTCAGTCTGTTTAGATCCAAATCAAGCAGCACTCTGTATCCATCCCTTCTTTTTAAAAAAAAGTCTCATTTCGGCCTCTGCTTATTTCAAAAAGTATTTGAAAATTATTGCGTCAATTTGTTGAATTGATTAGTATATATGTGTGAATTTCTTATGATAACGTATGGATGTATGAACTACGGGTTGATTGTATTATGCGTTCAACGGAATCTCTTCCTCTTAGGTGAGTTCTTGAAATTGTATACTCAGAAGTATAGTGATATTACCCTTTTTTCTTATCTTTGTACTTACTCGGCTGTTATATTTTTGGAACTCTCTAGTGCACACTGCTTCAACTGAAGGAAATGATGGCTCAGTGGATTTTGATGGTTCCAAAACGCAAAATCAGCCCGAGACATCCATCTCAGTTCAACCAGATTTCAACGAAGAAGCGACGTTACCTAAACCCAGTGAAGATGAAACTGTCCCTCTTCTCTCTATCAAATCACAAGAATCAAAAGCCAAAGAACCACTGCCAAAACCCTGCCCTATAACAAATCCCACTACTAATGTTATTTCAATAATAAGCAAGTATGAAGCTTTCAATGCCCAAAGTAGAAGTCAAGAGCAAGATTATACCTCTCATGAAACTCTGGTGACCGCAAAACAGTCTAGTTCCGAAGAAGGTGAAGAAAAACCCGAGATTAGTTCAGCAGACACAGATAGCAGTACGATTGTATCTTCACAACTGTCCAAAGTTGATCCACAAGATGACGATGCCATAAAAAAAAGTAAATTGAATGCTCCCTCTACGAAAACAGTGGCTTGGTCTCCATCAGTTCTTTCAAGCTCTGACAGCTCAGAACCTAGTGAAAGTGATCCAAGAAGCCCAGAAAAAATCAACGCAACTGAAATTAATCAAAATAAGTCTCCTACTCCAAAAACCTCGTTTTTAGAGTTGAATTTATCAGAAACTCGACCGAAAGGAAAGGATTATTCCGCACTTGAGATCAAAATTGACTCCAAAATGTCGCGATTTGAAAGCCTCACCGAAAAGTCGAATACTATTCACATCGAAAGAGAGTACCTTAGCACAAGTACCGTCTTTGAAGGGTCAACCTTAATGATTGAGGAATCTGTCGTAAGCGAGAAACGAGTTCACCATCGTGCTTCAGAGGAAGCAACAGTCCACATTGAGGATTCTGTTACGAATGAGAAGCGTTTACACCGTCATGGCTCAGAAGAACCCACTCTTTATGAGAGTCCAATAACGGATGACAGTATCTCTCACCACATTACAGATACGGGAATTAGTCTGACTCGTGGAACGGTATCTTCAGAAATGAGTGGCTCTCCACGTGCAGCTATTCAACCGACTGCTTTCACATCTGACACGGCAGTTGACGTCGATATCGAAGAGGAAGAACTAACGGATGCTGGTCTTAGTCCAATCCATCCAGATGCTACAGGTCTACGTCTGGCAGAGATGCCTCATGATTTAGAGTCTAAAGCTAGATTCTGTGATGTCGCCACCAGCCCATTAGAACTCAGGACTGACCAAAGAGATCACACCGATTTGTTAAAAGTTGAGAAGTCTGATGCCGAGACAATTACAGACGAGATTGAGAAGCGAGATATCGGATTAAGTCCAAATATCTCACAACTTCCGACTCCTTCCGTCCCGAGCACTCCTGGAGATCCGAGGTACGAAGATGCGTCGAATCAATCTGTGCTTGATTTTGGAGTTTCCAAATCAGGAAATGAAATTAAACCAAGTTCCACATCAAATTTGAAATCTGAAACTGAGCCCAAGATTCAAGAAGAATCTAGCTCCTTGAATAAGTCTACTTTAGATGAGACAGTTAGTAAGAGTGGAATGAGCCCCATGGAAAAACTTTCGTTGTCAACGAGAGGTGACGCACCATTGCATCAGGAGGAATTTGAATACAGCAGTGACAATGAAACTCTGCCTCGTGTCCAAGAACAAGCCATTGAGAAGTTAAATCGTTCTGATGTAAGATCTAATTGTTCTGAATACCAAACTTCGGCAATTGTTCAAGTGACCGCTGAAGAGGATGCCACCGACCCTGAACGACATTCCCATTGGGATTCCAAAACTGTAGCATCATCAGAAACTTCAGAAAAATCAGATCATAAACACTCAGATCAGTCAGAAAGTTCAGATCACAAACCTTGTGATTTAGATATTAAACAAACGGAACAAGTATTGTTGGTTAGTGACCCCATTCCTGATAATTTTGAAGAAAAAATTTCATCCTTGCCATCGCAGGTCCAAGATGAATTGGGAGTAGTCTCCTCTGCTAAAATATCACTGAAAGAGCAAGGTAGTGAGTTCGCACTTAAAGAGCCAGGTAGCGAGTTCGTACTAAACTCAGATTCAGACTCTAAACTTAATATCAAACCTGAAACTGAAATTGATTACAAACCTGATATGACCTCTTCCGGTGCACTTGAAAGTGAGACGCCGGGAAATTTAGTTCCTAAGTCTACTTATGACATTGATATTGAAACATCTTCCAATGATCTTACGAGAGATTACACAATTGACGAGCCTCTAAAATCGAATTTAAACCGTCTCAAAATCTCTGATTCAGAAACCGTAATAACTGAACCCGTCAACCTTGATGTAACATTTAAACCTCAACATGACAGCAAGACCACCTCCCTAAACCAAAGTTCCTCTATGAGGGATGACTCACTCTTTAAAGTTGAAGAAGAATCAAAAGTAAAGGAAGCCGCTCCAATTATTCTCGATGAAACCAATAGTGAACAAAAGCATGCACAGGAAAAAAAATTAAGTGAGTGCGTTAATAAAGAATCTGAGGGACGTTCAGTTGGAGGTGATGTAGCAGAGGACCAGTCAGTGTCAGATGCAGTGTCCGTTACATTAGCTGAATCACAATCGCAATCAAAATCTCCCATCGAGAAAACCTCAGCTGAGAAAGTTTTGAGTACAGATTTTGAAGCTGGAGGAAAATCTGATTCTCCATCTTCTGATGACAATAAAAGACGTGTTTTAGATTCAGTGAAAGAGATTACACTCATTACTGCTAGTACCGTACCCCTGAGCGGTGATACGAATGAAGAATCACCAGCACCAGACCCAACAAAACGCAACGAAACCATCGCTGAGGCTATTCTGGATGCAGGTTCCAAAGTTGTAAGTCAACCTGACTTGATCTCCTCTAGTATTGAAGGAACTTTGCCGCTTGAAAGTATGAAATCAAAAGAAGAGAATAGAATGGTATCTCAAAAATTGTCCGAAAAAGAGCTCATATCGGAGAAGTCTTCGACGGCTAAATCATTACTAATAAATGTTTCGGATGCACAATCAACAACCGCAATCTTTACCGATGAAACGATTACCAAAGTGACGGATGCTGGTGGTTCAAAGATCGATCGCATTCTTGAAGTAGAGTCAGTTGTTCATGATACAACTGACAAGACTAATACCAAGGACTTGCACTCTGAGGGGGAAGTAATAAATGAGGATGAAACAATCTCAAATGCTAAGATTTCAAGTGAACCCAATACAGCTGCGGCGTCATCTGTAGAGAATCCTTTAGCTATCGAAATACGTGAAACACTGATCTCAGCTAAAATATCCTCTCATGGAACAAACCTTGAGGAATTACCGAGTTTAGATTCAAAGTCGGAATCTAAAGCTGATGATTTTTCTGGTAAGTATGATGGAACTCTTTCAGCACAGCCTTGCTTTGAGACACCAGGAGCAGAAACTATCAGTGAAAAACTATCCGAAGTTATGAGTTTTGAGGAGAATGTCCTCTCCAAATTAGAAACAGCCGTGAGGCAAACACATGATACCAGTGAAACAAATGAAGTTCTGTCCAGCATTATAAGTATTGAGGAATCACTCAAAACGATAAATGAAACCCTAGAATCCGTGCCAAGCGATCAGCAACGGCTCGATACGAAATTTCATGATGTCTACAGGTCTGCAGATAGTATAGTCTTTACGACAACACCTGAAGACGCTTCCTCAAGGATATCCAAGACGGAAACTCTCGCCGAACTTCCGGTGCAAAAACACTCAGTATCAGCTTTGTGTACTGAAAACCGGATAGAGTCTAATAAGATGGAAGTTGAAGACATAATGATTAAGAAAGAAATTCATGTTTCCATTGATGAACGTGCTGAAGATGAAAAGGAATCCTTCCCAGAATTTAAATTGGATCAAGATACTAAAACATTGATCAATGATATTATGTCAAGTGAAAGCCATGCCACTGTACCTAAGGTCAGCTCTCCTTCACTCACGTATGAAAGTAGAGATGAAGTCGTCGAAGAGGTAATTGTTCCAAAAAAAGTTATGCCGACCATGGAACGCCTTGAAGGAGACGGTATCACGCGTTCCGAGTTCGACTCTCTAAGCGTGCGTGTATCTAGCACTGCACTCGATGATGTGGATGTACACCACGAATCACATTCTGATGTGGAATTTGAAAGTCAGAGCACGTATTTCAATGCCACTTCTGCCAACGCTGACTCTCATGTTGAAGTGAATAATGACAACCAAAAGATAGACTCATACTCTACCGATGAACGTGTGATAATTACTGCCAAAAATGACACGCGCACACATTTAACTCAGAATATTATCTCCGACAATGACAAAAACCCATCGGAAAACATTTCGGTGGAAGAACCACGCACGTCTGAAGGTCTAGATTTGCCTCTCTCAGCAGCCAGTGACTCCAAGAGCACTGAAAATGTGCCCTTTCTAACGGAATCATCGTGCACATTATCTTTGGAAAGTGGTCTTTTGTCTGAAACTATTCATCAAATCGCAAGCACAACATTGGCACAACATGCTTCTCCCTCAGTATCTACCTCTGAAGCACTAATTGATAGTGCTTTTGATAAGAAATCAACATTTAATCACGCACATGCTGATACCAGCCCCACAGTACCCTCAGAAACTCGACTGCCCTCCAAACACAAAAATCAACTGTCAGAGAGTTCTTTTGAGGACAGTTTAACGTCCGAAGTAGCCATCAGCTCACCGGCAGATATGCAAGACTCGATATCTGAAATACAATCACTCATTAAGATCTCGGAAACACAAGTAGTAGATCAAACAACGAATGAAACTATGGAGCAGTCAAAAGTAAATTCCAAATCTGCAGAAAAATTACTCACGGCTGACATTTCGAGCAATGATAATAATAATGTAGAAGTAAGCGTTGAGCATTCTGTGGGAGCACAGTCTCAAACAGATGGTACGTCTAATATCTCCTCAGCCTCAGAATCTCAATCCCTCTCTAAATCAGCAAAGGTGCTAGAAATTTCTCGAATTGCTTTATCGACTGAATTATCAGACTCTCAACAATCATATGATATTTCAGAAAACTTGTCGAATCTTCAAGATATGGACGATGAAGTTTTGCCCCCGCATCCAAGTGCAGACAATCCAGGGCAACCGTTGAATTTTCCATATCATCCTATTGAGGTATTAGCAGATGCAGAAGCGAAAAAAACAACCGTCATTCTTCCTTCGGGTCTTTCGCTAAGCAGCGGAACTGACAATGAGACGATTGTTCCAGCAGCTGAACTCGTTAGTGAAGCTTCTAAAATATTACGCGACTTCTCATCTGAACTAGGCCAGACTACGTCACAAAATCTTGGTGAATCAACCCAGATCATCGAAGAATTAAATAAAGATGAAGTTGTAAGTACATCATCTGTAGAACCCTTTCAAAAGGAAATTACCAATGTGGATTTTAAGATGGAGGGAAATATCATTGAACCAAGCTCACGCTTACATGTAGCAACGGCACCAATTGAACCAAACGGAATTAGTTCCACCCCTTTGCAAAACGAGCCTCATCACGTCGGAGCGCCTATAAAATCTGCAGTTGTGCTGACTTCCGACGTTAGCGCTCAGAAATTAACTGAAAAATTGAAACAACAGGCTCCTGAGGTAGAAGAAAAAAATGCTGACATTGCTTTATCCACAAATATTGAATTCCCAACAGAAACTGAAGATCTCGCAACACTTGCCCACCAAATTTCTCAGACAATCAGTGTTTCGCATCGTATGACCAGTGAGTCTCTTGAAAAACATGATGAGATACGTGAAACTCCACTCAGTAAGTCTACACCTGAATTTTCTGTGCAAGGTATTTCATCTATCGCACAGTTAAACCAAGCCACCGCAGATTTTACAGAAGGAAGTGGCACGGTTCCTGTTGCTGATAAATCTAGTTCGTCATCTCTTTTGTCGAGTGGAGATGCGAATAATCAAGAACTCGAGTCCGCAAAAGAAGGAGCCAATTCTACTACTATGACGGGAATTGATGAGCATCTTGATCGACGAATCGTCAATTCTTTCAAATCAGACAACGAAGAACCTTTGTCCCCTGGAAAAGAGCCTTTGAACATCTCTTCATCGCCCAAATCTCAAAAAGAATCAGAAAATGATGAAACTTTGCTTAAAGGGCATTCCATTTTGACAACCGCTTCAGTAGGAAATCTAAATGTAAAGTACAATACGACTTTTGATGAGGTAGATCCAAAAATTGGAAACTTAACAGGCTACTCAAAGTTAACGCGTGCAGAAAAAGACGTTCCCATGCCTACGCCTGATATGCGTATGCGTGAAGGCCAAGTTTCAAAAGACGAAGAGGGTACAAAATATATAGAGGTTGTGTCCGTCATCGAAGAAATCAACTCAAAGTCCTCAAATTCTCGGTTGTCAACCCAAGAGTCTGGAGGTAGCTTATTTGAAAAGGCTCCAGATCATGCTGAGGTTGAAATTCAGCGGTTTGGTACCAGTCTGGAAACAACTGATAAATTACAGAAAATGAGTGAAGGAAAGCCAACAGAAATTGACAAATCACAAGAAATCCTTGTGCAAGAATCCAGGAATGACAAATCTCAAGAACTGGAGGATTTGTCGAAATTTAAGGCCAATGAATCAATTGAAACTGAAAAGACAACTCCAGCGAGAGAAAACACGGTTAAACAAAAACATGTTGCAACCGAGGCTAAGAAAATACATGAAGATGGTTTGGATGATGAAGGTGCTCAGGATGCTTGGGAGGAAATTGAATCATCAGATGTCAAAGAGACAGAGAGTAAGCTGATTGCAAGGTTCGATGTTGTAGCCGTTGATAGCGACCCACTCTTTGAAAAGTTACATAAAGGTGACGAGGTGTCAGTAGGGAATAAGATTGATCAAGAAGAGGATGGTCAGGAGACAGGGAGTAAACCGGTTCTAAGTATTGATGATGTAGCTGTTGATAGCGACCCACTCTCTGAAAAGTTACATGAAGGCGATGAGGTGTCAGTAGGGAATAAGATTGATCAAGAAGAGGATGGTCAGGAGACAGGGAGTAAACCGATTCCAAGTTTTGATGATGTAGCCGTTGATAGCGACCCTCTCTCTGAAAAGTTACATGAAGGTGATGAGATATCGATAGGAAATAAGATTGATCTGGAAGAGGACAGTAGCATATCGCAGCAACTTCAACGCAAAGTCGGAAGCGATCCAGTCGAGCTGAACAATGCACGTCAGGTTGAAGCATCAGAAACCAAAGGCCTTGAATGCCAAGAAGCCTTGCAACCTCAACGGAAAGTCCCAGACGATGCAGATGAGCAGACTATTGTAATTCAGGCTGAGGTATCAGAATTTAAGGAGGTTGAATGTAAAGGAGCCTTAACAGATTCCTCGAGCCGCGGACAAAGTGGGTTTTCTGCTGAAATCACCTCCAGAATGTTTGTCAAAGCAGATAAAATCTCACAAGAGCCACCCAAGTCAATTGAGTTACTCTCTGGAACCATTTGCACCCAAAGAGCGGATACAGTCATGCTTAAAGAATCGCATGAAGGAGTCTCTTCTGTTACGGCTGAACGGATTTTTGAAGAGGAGACTGAAACATTATCCGACAACAAGGCTCTTGAAACAAAAAACATTATTCAGGACTCTTCCACGTTCATTTCAAGTGAACTTTCATCAGTTGAGCCTACCTTTACAAGCACTGTTGAATCAGATAATATTTCCCAAGATACAGTCAAAATAGAAGGTATCTCTTTTGAAACTAACGATACATTGATAAACGATTTAATCGAGCAAAAAGAAGTACAACTAGACAAACTAGTCATTGAAGATACAGTCGAATTACCAGATGTGAAAGATCTAGAAGTGCACCCTGAGGGTGCTCTCACTAAAATTGCTCTTATTGAAAAGGAAACTACCAAATTCTATGATATCGATGAGCCTGAGAAGAAACCAATCCTTGAAGATTCCTCAAGTGCCGAAAATGGTGAACGTGTAACATCCGAACTTAGTTCTGGAAGAGTCTATGAACCAACAAAGATCTCTTCAAGTACAGATAAACTAGAAGAAGTCTCATCTAAAACGGAAAGCACACAAGAAATAGACACAATCGAGGTGCAGAATCAACAGAGAGCCTTCGGAGATGAGGGTGAACATGTTTTTCAAAGTGAGCTTCCAATGTTGGAGGAGGAGGATTTTGAGAAACAATGTCTGACGGAATCTTCGAGCCTGTTACAGTCTAAGGTGCCTTCTAGTGAAAGTACTCCTAGTATGTCCGTTGATGTACAGCAAATGACGGAAGAGGTACTGGAAACTGATAAATTGTTCTCTGAGCTGCGTAAATCCCCGAAAGAAACTGCGGATGAAGCTCATACGGAATCTCTTTTGATTCAAAGTCAACAAATTTCATCAGAGGACCCCAAAGTAATATCAGAAATAAAAGAGCTGGAAAGAATACGAGTTCATAATGATGCTTTAAATTCAGAGAATAGGGAAATTGAAGATGAACGAAAAAAGGAGGAAGTTCATACTGAGGAAAGCCAGCGAAAAGCCTCTGACGATGAAGGCAGACAGGTTGTTCAAAACGTGGTGACAATATCACAGGTGAAGGAATTCGAGCATGAAGAGATACTGCTAGAATCATCGAAGCTTTTACAAGCTAACTTTTCTTCCACTGAAAGCAGTCTTCCCTCATCTAATGGAGCTCAACGAACCATAGAAGAAGGACTGAATACTAATTTAATACACTTAGACATGAAAAACTCCCGAAAAGAGCCTACGATACCAAATGAACAAGCAACCTCGGGAAGCTCTTTGATCGAAGTTGAACATATTTCTGAGAAGGAAGCTGAAGTATTATTTGTAAATGAAGAGTTTGACAGAAACCGTTTTCTTGAAGATCATTCTAGCTGTAATAAGGCCGAAGTTATGTCTTTTGAACTGAAACCAAGCTCTTCAGATATAATAAAAGCCGAAGTTACTTCTCCTGAAACTGAAGACCATAAAACCGACAAAATCCGCGTTGAAGATCTACAGGAAGCAGATTTTGAAAGTAAGAGCAAACAATCAATCCCCGGTGAGGTTGCAGTATTAGACGTCGAGGACTTTGAACGCATCCAAATTCTGACGGAATCTTCGAGCCTTGAACAGGCTAAGTTTTCCTCCACCATACTCACATCTGATATGTCTGTTGAAGTAGAACATCATTCGCAAGAAGCTCTGGCGAGTCAAGAATTATTATCCAAAAAAAGAGACTCTCCAAATGATTCTGTGATCATGATTGATGAAGCAAAACCCCAAAGCCTTCGAATGGAACTCGAGCAGGGTTCTGAAAAGGAATCAGGAGTTTCCATCAACATGGATGCGAAGAATCTGGATACCAAAAAAACTGTCATGACTTCGTCTGCTCTTTGTGAGGATGAATTGAAATTAGCTGATTTTAGCCCCAGGAAAGACGTCGAGCCAGGACGTATTCCCAAAGATGCAGCCAAAACAGAAATGACTCCATCTGAAATCGAAGACTCGCAAGGAAAGGTCACGATCAAGATTGAGGACAAGCCGCAAAAATGCTTGAACGGTGATAAAATACAGCAAATTCAAGGTGGAGATGCAACTTTTACAGTCAAGGACCTCAGACCTGAGTCAAATCTAACAGATCATTCGAGTCCTAAAGAGGCTGAGTCAGCTTCCGGAATGATTTCAACCATATCTGCTGAAGAAAAAAGAATATCAGAAGAGGCACTGAAGACTGATGAAAACTTACTCTCAGAGACAATTAGCTCCCAAACAGAGGTTGCCGTCGTGACTGAAGATACTCATCCGGAAGCTCCTCTCCTTGATGTTCAGCAGGCTTTCAATATAGAAACTGAAATATCACTTGAAATCAAGGAGCTTAAAGAAGGAAGTGCCCATCAGGACTCGTCTGGTTTTGATAAAGATGAATCGTCAGTTGAACATGGTCTCGAGAAAGTCGCTGAATACGAACTTATTCGTGAGTGCGTGGTCAAACCAGAAAAAATTACATCTGACACTGAAGGTACGATCGAGAATAAGGGGCAAAAAGGCTGGGATGATGACGAAGTACAGCTAATCCAAAGTGACGTTTCAGCATCCGGTGTCAAGGATGTTAAACCGAGGCCAGTTCTGAAGGCTCCTTCAAGTCTTGAAGAGACGGGGTCACCTTCTGCTAGAGACATTTCTGCCATGTCTGCTGAAAAAGAGAGAACGACAAACGAGGCTCAGCAGCTTGATGAGTCACTTTCTAAAACTAGTAGTTCTCAGAAAGAGGTTCCAATCGAAACTGAAGAAGCTCATCTGGAAGGTATTGCCCTTGAAGTTCAACGAGCTTCTATAATGGAAACTGGAGTAATCTTTGAAATCAAGGACCTCGAAGGACAAGCAACTTTTTCAGAAGCGTCGATCTCTGGAAAGGATGACTTCAAGTTACTTGAAGCCAGCTCCAAAAAAGTTGTTGAACCTGAAAATATCTCTGGCGTAGTAGCGGTAACTGGAGAAACTTTGCGTGAAACTGGAGATACGCAAGAACCCGACACAAACGAAGATAAGGATCGAAAGCAGAAAGGTAGTGAAGATGATCGCAAGCAGGATATTGAAAATGAGGTTGCAGTGTCGGTTTTTGAGGAACCTGCAAGGAATCAGATCTATCAGACCGTCTCCGTTTCCGAGAATAATGAACGTGTATTAGACCAACTTACCTCTGGGAAAATCATCGAGCCTGAGCAGTTTCCTCGAGAAACAGTGAAAACTGAAATGACTTCATCTGATACTGAAATCAGACAGGAAATATCTACTATGGAGGCTGAAGATCAACAGCAAAAACGTTTAGACGGTAATGATGAACACTTAACCCCAAAAGACGTTAACATAACAGTAGTGGAAACTGGAGGCCGACTAGAAATGGATACAATTGAGGCTAAGGATCCTGTACAGAAAGGTTTCCACGATGATGGTGAACAAGTTATTTCCAGTGACATTGGAATAGTAGTAGTCGAGGAGCTTAAAAGAAATCTATTGCATGAAGAGTCTCCCACCTCTGACAAAGATGAACTTATGTCATTAAAAATTAGCCCTCAAAAAGGCGTTGAATCAGAGAATTTTTCACGGGAGGTGGTCAAAACGGATTTTATTTCATCTGAATCTGAAAATGTCCAAAAGAAGGACCAAATAAAGTCTGAGGATGGACAAGAAGAAGCCTTACAAGATGATGGTAAAGAGACCATTCAGAGAGATTTTACAAAACCGACTGTCAGTGATCTTGAAAATAAAGCAACTGGGACGGATGCCCCGAGTCTTAAACGCACTGTGTTATCTTCTTCGGAAATCTTCTCCACTGAGGCCTCTGAATCAGAAGAAACGACGGAAAAGGTACCAGAACCTGAGGAGTTTTTCGCGGAAAGAAGTAGAACTCACGCCGGAGCTGCTATCCTGATAGAGGAAACGTATCCGAATGATACTATTCTTGAAGTCGGGTTGGTTCCTGAAAAGGAAACTGAAAGTTTGATTGATGCCAAAGAGCTGGTAGAAAATAAGATCCAGGTGGTCTCGTCAAGTTCTGAAGAGGATGAATGTGGGTCAGTTGAATGTAGCACAAGGGAAGTTGGTGAAGCTGAACATATTCCTCGAGTGATGATGAGAATTGAAGAGACGTCACGTGAAACTGATAGCGGACAGGAAAAAGGTACAATCAAAGGCGAAGATCGACAGCAGAAGGGCTCTGAAAAGAAGCTTGAACAAGATGAGGATTTAGATCAATGGGATGTCGCAATTTCCGCTGACAGTGACCTTCGATGCAGGCCAAATTTAACGGATTTTTCGAGCCTAGAACAGGCTCAGCCAACTACTGCAGAAATCATTCCTCGCTTGCTTGATGAACCAGAAAAAATGGTAGGACATGAACTAAAGACCGACTTTCCACTCTCTGAAACGGATCGTAGTCAAAAAAAGGGTGCAGTAACGATTGAAGGATTCTATCAGAAAGTTTCTTCAATACATGTTGAACAGATTTTTGCCGAGGAAGATAAAGTTTCATTGTATACTAAGGATCTGGACAAAAAAGAAACTGTTCAGGGGTCTTCAATTTCAGGGAAAGATGAATTTAAATCAGTTGTAGTTAGCTTTGGAGAAACTGATGAGCAAGAACAGATGCCCAGGGAAATAGTTAAAACAGAAATGATTTCGTCCAGAGACACAGAAGAAAAGATCACATTTGAAGTTAAGGATCGACAACAGGACAGCTCCGATAGTGACAGGGTGGATACCATTCAAGGTGAGATTGCAATTTCCGCTATCGAGGACTTCGGCTGTGAGTCAAATGTGATGGCCCATCCCCGTCTTGAACAGATTGAGCCAACTGCGTCTGAAATTACTTCTAGTATGGCTGTTGAAGCAGAATACACGACGAAAGGTGTACTGCAAACTGATGAGCTGTTCTTTGAAGCGAATGATTCCTCAAAGGAAACCCCAATCGTGATTGAAGAGCCACAGGCTCCCGAAAAGCAAACTGAAATATCCTTTGAAATCAAGGAGTTAGAAAAGGGAAGAATCCTTACGGATACCAAAAGTTCTGAAGTAGGTGAACTTACGCCAGAAGAATCGAGCCTAGGGAAAGTGGTCGAGCCTGAACAGATCCTCCTAAAGGTAGAGAAAACTACAGAGACGCCATCTAAAGCGGAAGATGAACCAGACGAGGCTTCAATCAAAGCAGAAGATAGGCGGCCAAAAGGTGCTCATGGTGGCGAAGAGGACATTCAAAAGGAGGTTTCCGTTCAAGATTATATCCTTGACGCCTCAGCCTCCCTTGAGAAAGATAGACGTGTATCAGCCGATGTTAGCCCTGGTATAGTCATTGAGTCTCAGCAGTCTCCCCTAGAGGTCGCTGCAACGATAGTAACATCACCTGACAATGAAGTCAGAGAGGGAACGGACACTACAGAGGCCAAAAATCGAAAGCATGAAGGCACGGTAGATGACGACGAGCAGGCTGTTCAAAGTGAAGTTGCTGAATTAAAAGTCGCCGACCTTGAAAGGAGTCAAATCATTGCAGCTTCTCTCACCTTGGGAGGAGATAAACGTGCATCCGCCGATATTAAACCTGACCAAGTCGTTGAATCTAAACAGTCTCCCCAAGAAGTCATCACAGTAGATGGAGCTTCACCTGAAAATACAGCCATAGAAGAATTGGACACTATTGAAGCCGAAGATCAAGAGCGCGAAAGCTGCTTGAATGAAGGCGAACAAGCTATTCAAAATGAAGTTACAAAATCAATTGTCGTTGATCTTGAAATGAATGAAATCCTTGAAGCTTCCTTCGCCTCTGAAAAAGATGAACATACATCAACCAGTGCTAGCCCCAGAAAATTCGTTGAACCTGAACAGATTTCTCGAGAGATGGTGAATTCTGAAAAAACTGTCAATACATATGAAGTCGGACAGAGAATGGACACTATCAAGGTTGAGAGTCAAGAGGAAAATGACTTTGTTGATGACGCCGAAAAGTCTGCTCAAAGTGCATTTGCAACATCAGGAGTCGTAAATCTCGAAAGGAACCAAATCGTTGAAGGCTGCTCCACTTCTGAGGAAAATGAACTTAAATCAGTTGATGTTAGCCCTAAAAAAGTTGAATCTAAACAATTTCCTCGAGACATTATGGTGAACAAGGCAGTGATTTCATCTGATACTGAAAACAGACCTGAATTGGACACTACCAAGGCTGAGGATCAAGACCAGAAATGCTTCGACAGTGATGATAGACAGGTTATCCAGAAAAATGTTGACATCGCAGTTATCAAAACTGAAGTCGGACAGGGAACCGACATTATCGAGGCCAAGGATCAACAAGAAAGAGGCTCTCACAATGACGATGGACGGGTAACTCAGAGTGATGTCATCATAGAAGTAAAGGAGAAGCTTGAAAGGAGTCAAATCCTTGAGGCCTCCTCCATCTGTGAAAAGATTGATGGTCTATTAGTCGACATCATTCCCAAAACAGTTGATGAATTTAAACTGACCTCCCTAGAAATAGCCGAAACAGAAGGAATGTTCTCAAAAATGGACCTAAGGCAGGAACTTGACCCTGCCAAACCTGAGGATCAAGAACAGAAAGTCTCCGACGGTGACGGTGATCGAGCTGTTCCGAGTGAGGTTGCAAAATCAGTACACATGGAGCTCGAAAGTATTCAAGCACTTGGAGGCTCTTTCACCACTGAGGAGGATGATCGTACGACAGTCGACGTTAGTCCCGAAAAAGAAGTTGAAACTGATCAGAATCTCCGAGAATTCGTCGGAACAGAAGAAACTTCATCTAGTTCTAAGAAAATACGTGAAATGGATACAGTCGAGGGCGAAGATTTTCAGCAAATAGCCGGAAAACTCGAAAGAAATCAAGTTCCTGAAGACTCTGTCACTTCTGAGAGGGATGCCCATGTCAGTCCCGGAAAAGTCATTGAATCTGATCAAATCCCTAGAGAGACGTTGCAAACGGCTCCATCTGAAGATGAAGTGAAGCAAGACGTAGGCACTATCAAGGATGATGATCGGAAGCAAGATGGCCGCGAAGATGGTGATAAACACGCTGTTTTAAGTGAAGATCCAAAATCGGAAGTCGCGGACCTTGGTAGGAATCAAATCTTTGAAACCTTCTCTGAAATGGATGAACATGAATCCGTGCATGTTCGTCCGAGAAAAGATGTTGAACCTGAACGATGTTCTCTAGAGATCGTCAAAGAAACTTCATGTAAAACAGAGGAAGTACGTGAATCTGACCCCGCCGAGACTATGGATCGGCAAAAGAAAGGGCTTAGCGATGATCGTGATCAAACCGTTGTAAGTGAGGAACCGAAAACAGGACTCTTGGATCTTGTAAGGAATCAAATCTTCGAGGGCTCCTCCACCTCTGAGATTAATGAAAGTAAATTAGATGATATTAGTCCCAAAGAAGGAATTGAACCTGAACGGATTTCTTCTGAAATGATGAGGGCGGATGAGACTGCATCGGAAACTGAAGTTAAACAGAAAATGGACACCATCGAAGCTGAGAATCGAGAGCAAAAAAGCTTTGACGATGAAGATAAACTAGCCATTCAAAGTGATGTTGCAAAATCTGTAGTCTTGGAGCTAGAAAGGAAGGAATTCCTCGATGACTCCTGCTCTTCTGAAAAGGATAAACCCAAGCTTAGCCCCAAGAAAGTCGTAGATCTTGTACAGATCCCTCAGGAACCAGTTAAATCAGAAGATACCTCTTCTAAAAATGATGTTGAGCAAGATGTAAATCCTATCGAGGATAAAGATCGAAAGCAGGGTGACTCTAACGCTGATGAAAATGAGTCTAATCAAAGTGATGTTGCAGTACCAACTATCCACAAACTTGAAAGGAATCAAATCCCTGAAAATTCCTCAAGCTTTGAAAGAGCTGACGTTATTTCAGTGAATCGAAACCTCGAAATGGTGGTAGAATCAGAACCTATCCCTGACGAGATAAGGACAGCGGACGTAAATTCCTCCGAAAGTAATGACACCACGGAAAAGAGTGCAATCGAATCTAAAGGAAACCAGCAAGAAGGCCCTTCCCTAGAGGTTGCGGATGTGAACGAGACGAAAAAAGAAGGCGCTGTAGAGGACCTTCCTGGCTTAAAAGAGAGTCGTTCAGCCCAGAGCCCTATGAAGGACTCTCATGGCATGTCTATAAAAACGACACATGAGGAGATTCAAACTATTACTGATGTAGAAAATTTAACAAACAGAGATCATGATAAGTTATCACTCGCATCCCATGAGACGACCGACCTAGAATCTCCTGAAAATTTAAAATTCGATGAAGTTAACCAGTCTGATGCTTCAACAGAATCGCATTACGAAGGAAGGAGTGAAGGTTCACTTGATGAAGTTTCGACTGCACAATCCATAAGAAAGGATAGAGAGGATCAACAAGACTATCCTGAATTGTTGGTGAAGAAACCTAAAACATGCACAAATCTTTCCAAAGACCCAAAAGACATGCAAACCAAACTTATTTTTGAAGATTCAATCGAACCAATTTTGGAACCTCCGCTTCCGAAGTTTGAGAATGCTGAAGAGCCAGCTGTATTGGTTAAAAAATTATCAAGATCTAAGGTTGGGGATACTGGAGAGTCTCTATCATCACATCTCATCGCAGCAAGAACCGAAGTTGCTTTGGTAGATTTACCTGAAAACAAGATAATTTTGCCAGTTCATGCAAATGAAAGTCTTTATTCGTCTATCGGAGAGAATGCACTTTTAGTCTCATCTGTCTCAGATAAATCGACTCCTATAGAGCCTGTAGGCTTGGTAAAATCTGATTCTCATGAAGACATCGATGACAAGGCAGACAGAATTACTTATGTGGAATGCAGTTCAACACCTAAAACATCAGAGAGAGAAAGTGTTACTCCAGAATTGGAATGCACCCTAAGTACAAAATACGAAGAGATGATGGACCCAGAAAATATTTCGCTACCCTCTTCATTATCAAACAGATCTGGTGAACTTGCCGAATTTCCTATAAAAGCTGAAATATCTTCTGACTTAGGAAATGAGAACAATTCCAAGCAGGCTGGTGACTCTGAAAAACTATTGAGCCAATCAGGTTCTAGCCTCAATACATCAGCTCCTAGTCTGAAAGACTCCCATAGAACCCAGCTTGATCTTACATCAGATGTACGAGAAGCAGACACTGGAGACTCATATGAATCAGGAGCCTCCACCGCTCCCACCAGTCTAACCAGCTACTCTGAGAATGATTCTCAAGTAACATCTCAGCCACTAACTGAAGAAGACACTAATAAAGGAAGCAGTTTTCAAAGTGAATCTTTTTCTGATAATTCTTCAGGCCCTGATTTTGCTTCTCAACGTAGCACCGGTTTTTCTGAGGATTCGGAGGAGCAAGGCAGTCTCTTCACTACAAAATCCGGTTCAACGTATGTTTTTGTAAAATCGACCAGCACCAATTTATTATGCTCCTGCGATGAAATTGAAACAGCTCGAGATGTAACATTGTCAAGCAAAAACCACGAAGGAAAAGTTGAAATTATGGCAACGACTTTGCGCGAAACAGTAGCAGTGGAGAAGTCGCAGAAATCTCCGGCGCAAAATGTTCAAGGCTCTGAAACAGCTGAAACTGACTTTTCAGGCTCTACTGTCGAGCGAGCTGCCCCCACTTTCAAGGTAAAGTCATTAGTTTCGACTCAGGTCTCTATTATAAATGATGATGCTAGCAACAATGTTGCCTCCGATAGTGATAAACACAGAGAAAAAAGTGTTAAAACACCGAAACGACCCGCTTCACTGGCATACGCAGAAAAAGCCAAAGTTACAAATAAGAAATTGTTTTCTTCCTCTTTAGCTCAGAAAGCCGGGCGTGATACTTCCGTTTCATCCCTAAAACCTGCTTTATGTCAAGAGCAATCTGAAGGAAAAAAGCCACGTAAAAGGTTTACCTCCTCCGGCTTGCCAAAACCTATGATACCCAGTGACTCTTCTCCAATGAAGCATGTATTTGCTAAGACTGATTCAGGTTTTAAACAGCGCAATTTAAGTTCATCGGATTCTGAATCAGCAAATAAAGTGAAACGTGTCATGCATACTGCTAGAGATAAGGTAGATTCCCATGTAAAAAAGCCCTTGCTTTCATCTACCCAACAAGTAGCCTCTCAGAAACGTAGTGTAGACCTTCCCAAACCCAAAAATGAAGATGTCAAGTCTTCTTTCACTGAACGCCATCCTCAAAAAATTGGAAATTTTTCCAACAGTAAATTTTCCAATGAAATGAACACAACATCCTCTACCATTCGCCGTACAAATGTAAGTTCTAAATCAGAAAGTAAAAGTCAAATTTTGAAGCTTGCCAATCAGGGTGACTCAAAATACTTGGTCAGACCCTCTAATAGAAGTTCTTTCTCTGATAAAGATATCCCCAAGGAGCAGCAAATAATTAATCAATCAACAAATAGTTTATCCTCTGGAAAAGTTGAGAAAGTTCCTGAAGTAACTAATGAATCAAGAAAATTTGCCTCCAAGCAAAAATCTGATATAAAAAACAAAGGCTATGCTGCCTCCACTCTCTCCACTACCATGAAAACTAAGATCACAAGTAGCACTGAGTTTGAAGTAAAAGTAACGAATAAACTCAGAAATAACTCGGCAAGTCGATACCAAGATTTGAGCAGTCTTAGAGTTTCGGAAAAAATTGAAAAAGATGTGAAAAACTTGGTCATGAAAAATAGTAAACTGAAAACATACAATACTATCACTTCATCTGTTAGCACAAAAGAAACAAGAAGAAATGTTAGGAAAAGTTCCGGTAAAGATATAGAAAAATCTGAAGAAGGCAGCAACACGGCACAATCTAAACCAGGTTACAAAACTCAAGGTAAAGTCACAACAAGACGAACATCTGGGGAAATAATAGCTATGCCCAGTGAGCAACATACAACTATTCACAAATTATCCAGTTCAAAAGAAGGAAACAAATTTAAAAATGAAAGTAAGATCATTTCTTTTGAAAATAAGAGCAAAAAAAGTGTCAGTTCTTCCTCAGCCCTCTCAGAGTTGCTCACGACTTCGGACAAAAAAAATGTTCATTCAGTACTCTTCAAAGACGAATTTTCTTCTGACACATCGAATGTGGCTGAACATTTCACCTTTTCAGAAACATTAGAAAATCTCAAAAAAGTGTCCTCTGCAACTCTTGGTGTTTATTCTTCCCCAAGAGAGCAAGAAAAACTGCGACTAAGGCGCAAAAGTGATCCGAAATTTAACCTTAATAATCATAGTTGTCACGATCCTACTTTCATTGGATACCGTGGATCATCCTCTCTCTCATCAAGTCCATGTCATAAACGGAGATTTTCCAATGGAACATCAAGCTTCCTCACATCTGAAGTATTTACACAGTACAAAAAAACAGGGCCAAATTCTGGTTCCTTAAATGTTCTGTTTTCGCAGCCGTCTAATTCAGCCGTGAAAGAACCCTCCTCCTCTCAAGGAAGTTTTCTTGTAGTTGATCCGAACATTAAAACCTCTCCGTCTGTTAGCACTAATATTTTGCTTAAAACTGACTCCTCTATGCTACCCTGTTCCTCCATTGAAAATTATGTAGAAACTAGTAGTAACGTCCATTCAACAGTCTCATCCTCTAGTCACTCCTATACCTCTAGAATTTCGACTAAATCTTCTCAGAACCAGACTCAGGCAGACAGAGTAGTATCACATGACCGAAGCATCTGCTCCAAAGATAGTATTCTAACTCATACTTCGGAAAATATTGAAATGTCTCCTTTTCACAAGGGATCTCATGAATTCAAAGTTATTAAAAAGTCACCGGGTAAAACGAACCTGACAATATGCTCGGATGATGAATCGAAAGTCAGATTAACTCAATGCTCAAAAAAAGTTTGCGAAGAACAATTGTCTCCAGTACTTCAAATCCGGGCAAGGACACCTCCCCGTGTCAAGCATAGCTTTCAGTACCTAGATTCTGATGAAGAAGAGGGTCTCGGCTCCTCATCTGATAAGTCTGCTTTAGTGGATGTAGACAAGCCTCTTCCCTCATCTAAAAAACAGTTTTGAGGTATTATTAATTTTTTTTTTTTTTTTTTCCGCTCGATGTATGCACTGTAGTGCCCGTAGATAAGTACAGCTCATCCTATCAGACATACCTACATTTGCTGCTACCACCAGCCATCTCAGCTTCACACACTGTTGAAACCGTCATTACAAGATAATTGACCCGATAGATTAATAAATTTGCAGTGCTACTCATTAGGTTATTGTCAATATCTGTTAATTATTTTAAGAGATGATTGTATTTTATGCATGGACTCTTGGGTCAAAATATTATCCATAAGCTTGGCTTATTCGCAAGCATGCAGCTTGACATTTGCATTGCTTAGCACCTTTTTTTGAAAATTTATTCAAGACAGAAAAAGAAGCTACTGAATTGATTATGGATAGAATTTCGAATGAGCCAATAAATTTTCTACAAATTATCCTATGATTAGCTATCTTCCTAAATATGAAGTCAATCGTACCTCCTAAGTTTTCTTCATTTCTCTCTTCTTTGCTTGCTGATGCCCCAACATCCTGCTGTTATTCATGCTTTTTTCAGTGCTGTACACGCTTTAAAGTCATACCTCTACTTAGTCACATTTTGTCTGCTCCAATTTAAGAAGCCATTGCCAGTGGCAAGATCTTTACAAAAAATGGGGCGAAAGAACGCTATATTGTATTGAATTTTTTAGTTGGATGTAATGACACTCAAAGCTGTTTTTCAGTTTTCCACTTTTTTCGCGCTTGTCCACCCGAAGTTTTTCTGCCATCTTTACCGACGCATTGAAGTTATGCTCGCATTGTATGCTGGTAGAAGCTGTGATTTTATCAATCTCAAGCAATCAGTTTGTTTTTATTAAATTTTATTTAAGGATTTATGTGGCACACAGCTCTATTGCTACCTTCAATCCTCAATGAAACTTGTCGGTTGAAATTACGTATCAAACACATTTTCTCCTCAGCTTTCGCTTAGACCCATACCTCCGAATAAAATTGGGGTAATTTTGCTAAATACTTTGTACATTCATCCTATTCGTCCTTCATTTACAAATGAGAATCCGTGTACTATCATCAGTCTAAAGTTGAACAATCTTTACTTCATTGGAGTAATAAATGAATGTCCTGCAGGCCTCTCCGTCTTAAAATAGTGCCAGTTACTGCAGAATTTTATGCGCCTAATTCCTTGCAATTTATTCAATGTGTTACATTACAAGGATGAGGTTTTCGTTGTGCCCGTCACTTGTTCAAGGAGTTGGAACTATTACCTTTTTCTAAAACTTTTTTTAGCTTGCTAGCATATGGTTTTTCGCAAAACCTACCTACAGCAAAATCTCAAAAATCGTTGACTCTAAATCATTGTAAAATTTTTCATTATTTTATCCATGCCTAAACTTCAACAAGAAACGTCTCATGCATCGATAATAGCCTGTTAGACAAATTTCAATCTATGTTTTTTCATCACCTTCAAAAATTTGTGTTTGAATCTCCATCAAAATCGCCACTTGATATTCCTTTTTTGTGGTTTTTACATATACTTCTTACTAGTGAAGTACGATCGTCTTCACAAAATGGTGAAATTGGCACTCGGAAATATTTTGTCTCGAAGAACTTATTTTTTTAAACAATAAATTTGATCTCTTCACAGGTTGAAACGTGGCAGCAATCTAATATCTCTCTGTCGTCGATCGGATGTATTTCATGGAATTTGCCTGACATTGAAGATAAGATAGCGCCTTTTAGTTCGGAACAAACCGTAGCTCTGAATACAGTTTTGACGGAGGACCACTGCTCCTATGATAGTGCTGACCAAAAATCGCAGCAATCATTATCTGAAGAACGCAGCAAAAAACCCGCTTCCGTTCCTTTGGAACCTGGCTCACAGATGTTAGGAGCAACAAACCTGGAGCTTAAAAATCTTGAGGAGAATAAATTTGGCGAAATGAATTTGAGTGGAATGGCATCTTCTCAAAATCAGAAAATTCCTGTGATTGCAATAACGCCGGAAGATGGGCCCAAACCATTGCCCTTGAAATATCTAAGAATTGGATCAACTCCGGAGCCTTTAACAGACACGGAAGACTTAGAAGCTAGCACTGACCAAACCCTCAAAATTATTAGACTTGGAATGGATGATGCTGCCACTACAGATGTAGAAGACATGCAGGATTCTGATGACAATGATGCCCAAGAGAGGAACATCTACAAATATCCTAAGACATTCTCCGTAGACGATATTCTAGATCCTGGCTCTTTTGAGGAGTCTATCAGCATCAAGTCCAAAAAAAATGGAATCAAGAAATTGCTCTCTTCATTCACCAGATCACTTTCTGAGCCAGCTTACAAAAATAAAGGACTCCAGTTACCTGTCTCTGATGCTGAAGAATTAACAGACGTAGACCTGTTAGACTCAGATTGTGATGTCAATCCACACTATGATGAAGATCATTCTGTCCTATTAAATCATCTAATGGATACTGATGATACCCATATTACCTCTGAGGATAAATTCAGAAGTTTAACGCCCTCTCCGAGTGTTACCCCTGAGCCTTATTTCTCCGAAGGAAGGGTCAAGAAGTTTACTAAGAAGTCTGGAAAGTCAGGGGCCAGTCATCTTTTATCCCCTCGGTCACTGTCACCCCACTTGAGCGACTTTACAGACACTGAAATTATTTACTCTGACAATGAAGATGGCCATTTTGATGATTTTCTAACAGTCGACCCTGTGGGACTGAAAAAGAGAAAAAATCGCAAGCGAAATATTTTTACGAACTCTTCGGTTTATATCGCTGAAATCGAGCCTCAAGCGCAGCCTGCTGATTATAGTACAGACACTGAAGATATGCTTCTCACGGATAGAGAGGAGTTGTCTCCTATGCCTGCAAGAAATGTTTTGTATGAGGAACCCAAAACTCGTTCCCCATCGAGACATGTAATGAAACCTGAAGCATTGAGTGCAGAAGTTAGCGATGGTAACACGGACATTGAAGACTTCTTCTCAGACACAGATGAAGATATACCTCATACCTCTCACATGGTTCCAAAAATAACTAAAAGTCAGGATCAGTCCAGTTCCGCTCCTCACTTTCAATCCTCTCAGGTGTTACCTGATATTGAAAACGATTTTGAAATAAGATTTGTAGTTATTCATGGAGAGAAGAAACCAATGATTGTTACACCAGAGCCCATGAACAACGAGGGGCTGGTCCATGGCACACAAGATTGGGCAACAGATGTTGAAGACCTCTCAGATGATGAAGGAGTTCCCAAAAAAGTACCTGTGCTTGGAGGCTTTTTGACTGTCAACCAAGCAGCTCCCTATGACAAATTAACAGATACTGAGGACATTGATTATGACGGAGAACTGAGCCGATCGAAAACTCCTGAACCTGAAGATGGGGATGATATATTGGATGAACTTTTGACTCCTGTCAGAGAAATTCATCTTGTGAAGGAGGATGAAAGTGGGGCTCCTTCAAGAATAATTCTGCCATTAGGAGATGCAAACCCGTCAGGCTTGTTGTCACCGAGTGAGGAGACCGGTGGGACATCTGAAATTGAAGAAGTAGCAGACTCATCTGATGAGTATCAGCCTACCAGTTATCAGTATCAGTCCCCTGAAATATCGGACATCGATGGTGGTTTTGTTGAATCTAGTGATATTATTAAATCAGTAAAAAAGAAAAATAGGTTAACTGTCGATTCTCAACATATAGACCCATCAACAGACACGGAGGAAATCCTCCTCTCAAGTGGCGCAAATAATGGTCTGCGGAAAAGAAAAACCAAAGGAAAAAGTAAGAGTTCATTGAATCTTAAGGTTCCGTCCGTAACTGGCTCTGGATTAACTGATACAGAAGAATTTGTGTTGAGCGATTGTGATTCGAATACCATTCTTGGAATTCCCTCGGTGAGTATTTCAAGCCCTGTAGTTGCGACTGAAAACATTCCAACCACCGATGTCGAAGACATGGAAGCATCTGATGATGAAGACTATGAACGTGATAGATCGCTTTCAGTCACGCCCGATTGTTTGAGCAGTTTAAATAACGAAACAGTGACGCTCTTCCAAGAAAGTGACAAACCATTCTCGAAAGAAACTGAAAATAACTTTTTTAAAATAATGCAAGATGTGAAAAGACATAATTTCACAACGCCAGAACCCCAGATTACAACCCATACAGACACAGAAGAGCTTCAAGAATCAGCTCCCGAAGAAGAAGATCTGAAGACTTGTGTTCAGAATTGTGATTACAATTTAGATCTGGAAGACGGGTTTTCAACAATGGTTCACACGAAACATACTCGATCCTTCATTATCGATCAAAATGAGCTCATGCATGTGAAGGGTGCACCACCTGTCCTCAGAGATGTAAACACTGATGTGGAGGATGTTGCATTGTCAGAAGACGAGGCTCTCAACTTGATATCTGTCCACGATAATGAAAAAGATGTTTGCGTCTGCATCCAACCAGCTGGGGATAAAAAAGTATGTGTCTGTGTCACACGAGAAGACAACGAGTTATCCCTTGTTTGGGATGGTACAAAGTCTTCAAATGATACATCCAAATCTAAAGAAGGTATTCTCATATTGAGATCTCGCTCTTCTTCTTTGATGAAACCCCGTAAAATTAGTTCCCTTCACAGTATAAAAAGGAAGCCTTTGTTGCGCATTGAGGAATGTAGTGCATCTCCAAAGCAACTCACAAAGTGCTCCTCTCCTGTAAAGTTTAGCAATTCTAATGAAAGTGTATCTATAAGCTTATCCTTTCTGAACCGAAGTATGATCTTTTTGAAGGAGATTTCAAATTGCTGTAGTGTAGTATTCAGTTTTAAATTACACACTGAAAATAGAGACGTTAATTATTATGTTGAGAAAGAGGCTAATCGTTCAATTCACAAATCGAAAATAGATGTGTTTATTCCAAACTACAAGCCCAACGTTGTTTGTGTACTTTTTTTGTACCAATCTATTGAGTTTGAGCTGACACCTTCCCTAGATCTACCTTCCAGCTGTTCCGGTGCTCCCAAAAAAATATTGAAAACCTATGAACGTGCGTACACAAGTAGTTTTATCCCTGACAAGAACATTATCTTTGATGTTTCTAATGTGAAACGTGCATCAAGTGTCTCGAAGCTAATTGAAAAATTTGAAAGCTTATCCACCAATTTGAGTTCATTTTGCTGTCAATCATCACCTGCCTCAACGCATACGTCTTTTACCAATGAAAAATGTGGAAGTTTCAAGAATAATTGGTCTTTGTCTCTATTTAAAGATGAAAGTATTTCTCTAGATAATGACAGACTCAAGAATTGTCTTACCAGGCCTAGCTTCAAATTCGAGTGTTTAAAAGATCGAAGTATTAGTCCTCAAAGGCTAAATCCTGCCCCAATCGCCCAGACCGCTGCTTATCAAGCTATATACAAAAAAACAACAGTAAGCGTATAGATGCTCCATTCCAGATAACTACCTTCCCATTGGAAGCCGTAAATTGTTATTCTTTTTATATGCGTTCCTCATCAGTAATCCTGTCGCGGTGCAGAGTGGGTCATAATTGTCTGTATTTTTTCTCTTTTCCCGGAAACAAGGATCTGCCGTATATCTGACCAAATATTCTTCATATATTGCATTTATTTTACTGTTATTGGCTCAATGAAAAATTGTATTTCTTCTCAGCGGGTTGATTAAGGAGAAGTTGTACATGTACATTGATAGATATTATGTCTTCTCAGCACTTTCTGTGGATTTTTTATCATGCAGTCTTAAAATATTTTTAATCTTAAGTAGGAACTCAATGAGAAGTCGTTGTTGGAGTTAATTAAAGTTCCTCAGTTGGTTCTCTACCCCTACAACACTCTTTAGAGGTAAATAGATCATACTTTAATTTAGCACTCTAATTTTAAACTCATACAATTATCGCCTTAGGATTCATATCAGATTAGGATTGGTTGAACAGGGTCTACCGATTTTGCAACTTAATTTGAAAAGCTCTCACCCCTTTCACTAATAATCCTTGTCACTATCGACACAGTTAACATGGACTATGACATTGATGAAATTATAACCAGAATCTCTTACTTATTTGTGTATAATACCTACTGAATAGAAACCTGGCTTTTTGCTAACTTATTTTTCGCTGTTTGCCATACTAACAAATACCGACTGACCTTTCTCATCCCTTCCTATCATGCCCAGTTGTTTTTAATTTGCTTATAAGTTTTCACCTAGCATGCTCAATATATGCTTGTTTGCTCTTGACTTTAATTTGACTTAAGAAGTTTGGTGTATTCTTGCTGTATCCCCTTCCCTTGCAATCCTTCTCTTTTGTGCCTCATAGTGTAAGTCAGTGTCTCCCAGGATTCCTTTAATATGTCTCATCAGGCTCTGAGGAAAACTAACCCATAGTTTTTACCCTAATATTGATTTTGCTTGTATAAAGTAAAGCATCCATTCTAAATATGGAAATGAGCCATGAAAGTGGAATTCTTTTGTAGGGATCAGTCAAGCAAAAGTAAGACTTTGAGAGTGGCTATCTCACTTGCACAGTATCTTACCTACAGGCATGTATATAAAATGAGGCTATCTCCTCCTGGTATCCGTTTTTGAACGAAACTGTTAGTATTTTGTTGTAGCTATGGTAGTCCATTTTTCCTCCTGTACATGAGACATTTTCTCTTGGCTGCTTCCTTCCTTGATGATTTTTTATTGATTCTAATGTGATAATGAATAACACGCATATCCACTATGACATCTGTACTAGTGTATAAATTTTTAGAAATGTCACAATAATTGAGGTAATTCAGCGGAAGTTGTAAAATCCAAGCATCTTAGTCTTGGGTCTCCTAATTTTTATCGTGATAGAAAAGGGAGAAAGATTTTTCATGTTTGCACTTTTACATTTTTAAAAAACTAATTTAAAAAACAAATGATATTTCCTCAATCCTTTTTTTTTTGTCACTATTTTTCCTCTGTGATTGAGTTTGAAACTAGAAGCCACCATAAAATAGTATCATTTGTATACAATGAGTCACAATTTTTTGTTCAGCTCTTAATTTTTAAATGTTTTATTTTACTTTTCAGAGGCCGCTAAAAACAATGTAGTAGATAGCCCAACATCAGATACAACTGGAAAATCAGGTAAACCATTATTTTTGTTTGCTTCAGTTTTTTAATATTAGACTTATTTGTTATGGCTTTGGATCCCTAGGAAATTCTTAATTTTTTTTTCTCGGATCCTTTGGCCCTCTCATTCATGCCCCATAGAAAAAAAAAAAAAAAAAAAAAAAAAAAAAAAAAAAAAACTAAATATTAAACATATCACCTTTATTTTTGAGTTCCCATACATTTTCACAAACACGGGACATTTGTCATTCGGCTTTTTACAAATTTCACTATCACAAAATAGTACTCATCACTCATTTACCCATAGATTCATCAAACATTAGAATCTATTTATTAGACTCTTCTTATTTGAGTCTTTAACTCATTCGTGTATGAGTTATCAGTGTCTGTCACTTAACTCTCATGAATGCTAATCTATTGGTTGCCTTGTGAACTGTTACTTGTGCTTCTGAAACACTGACGATAGTTAGTCATTTTACAATTCGTGACCTTAACTGTAAAAGGTTCTTCTTCTATTTGCACTATTTTCCTTCTCTTTCTCCAGTATCCATTTCACTTTATGCCTTACTACGAAGAGCAGCAGTGATTGCCCTCTGTGAATAAGCACTTCAAGTATTTATCCTCTGTGGATGTTTTTTCTCTGTGTATGAATTAATTAATTTTTATCCTCTGGCACTGAATCTCACTCTTATTGAATGATTTTTAGGAGCTAGCCCTCGTAAAACCTGAATTTTCAGAATCCTCTCTTTGAAATGAATTCCTCAATTCCTCATCTCTAGTAATTTCTTTTGTTTTCTCATAATTCTTCATATTTTTCATGCCGCAGTAATATTGACCCATCGTTATTGGGTGGAAGGAGTCTTCTCATATCCCTCATGATCCTCTTTCATAACTTTGGGGCGTTTGTTTATAATTGGATGTGCTCGAAAAGTTTGCATTTTTTCCCATAAAATTCTTGACAGGAGTGTGTAGCTCATATGGTTCTAAGAAGTTTGAGTGTGACTAGGACTAGTCAATTTTGATGATCACCCAATAAAATACCCATATATTACAGAAAGTATTGAAGTCGGTAAAGGCATCCCTCTTTTTTCTGTGCTTCTAAATTGTAAAGTATCGGTGCCCATAAATTGCTATGCATATTCAAGGAATTAGGAAAAATCAAGCAGATAGGAACATGTCAGAAGGTATTTTAGAGTCTTTGGTATTGGAATATCGGCATCTTGGTCAGTGGACATTAAACAGCCTGATCACATTTCAACGGTTAACCCGCCCTGTTTAGGCGTTTTACAAACTCAAAACAAAATTTGTACTCGATTTTGGTCTGGCGAGTCTCTTTCATGCCATAATTTTATCCTTACAGATTTCCGTAAAAAAGGTTGTTACACAATTTTAAATCATCATAACACTTTACTGAAGGAAAATAGAATCAAGATATTTGGAGTTAAACCATGATTATCAAGTAGATTACTGGCGTTTGATTCCTTATGCTAGTGAATGCTTCAAGGAAAAGAAGTATTCTCTATTTTTTGAATAATCTGAATAACAGTACCCATCCAAAATGGTGTAATCCCCCAAATTTATCAACGAAGTTGCTTAAAGTCCACTTTTTCATCATTGAATATCTACTTCCAGACTGCTTTTCTCTTAAAAACTGTCTCTGTCAATGCAGTTTTTATAAGAATTGAGGATTTTCAATCTCATCAATTTTTTCTCTGATCGAATTCTCATTAAGCATGATCGCGTTGCTGGTTTGGCCCTAGATCAAGTCCAAAGCTCAAAAAAAGATTTCTAAGGTAAGCTCTTAATGGAAGAGCATTACGTCAATATGAGATGAGCCCACCAAAGCAAGGCAAGCTCGATTCGGTCCAATTCTCCTGAAATTTTTGCCACTGACTCAGTGTGTCAAGAACATGATTTTTAACGTTGACCCTGAATCTGCATGGAGAATTAGACTAGACAGAAAATAGATGTGAAGTTCTGTCTACTATCGTACGGTTCCTTCTACTCAGCCTCAATTTCAAGGGGGTTTTTTTCTGTTTGTTTAAGTTTTGGAGTTCATTTCAGACAAAACCTTTGCATTGCCTCGTTATACTCATCAAATGTTATGTCAAAATTGGTACTTCAATAGAACTTTACATCTTTTTAGTCCATGACGTTGATAAGACTGTAAAACTGCCCATCAGAATTTTACACTTCAAAATGTCCATTTGTTGCTATTTTTCTTCTTTTTTATTTTTTTCATTAAAGTCAAATAAGCCAATCTTATAATTTCTAATTTTTACCGATTATTTTTCAGAGGGAAACAAATTGAAAGCATTATAAAATAATGATGAAAAAATCAAAGTCTGATGTAAAATTGAATCATGTGTGATTGAATCTTTGTAATACTCTCCTCTGATTTTCACCGAAGTTTGCTTGTATTTGCAGAAATATTATCCACCGTCCTTTCATGTTTTATGAAACTCCTTATGTTAAGTGTAATCTTCTCCTAAGCTTTTCCAGGGCTGCTTTAACTCTAACTATCCTCTTACAGCCTTTGAAGTATTTGTGAAGAAGCAATACCATTTTTTTAAATCTTTCCTTCTTTTATTAATTAAACAATCCCAGGGGAAAAAAAAATGTCAGCAGCTTATCCAAGGTATTGATTCAATGTTGGATATATTAACCTTTTTAGTATAATCATTGCATGATTACTCTCTTTATTCCTGCAAAAAGAAGTGTACGTCATTGAAATGGGTTCTTTGTCGTTTTTCCATTATAGCAGAGATCTGGAGTGTTTCTGAAAAGTAAAGTGTGAAAACTAAAAGACAGCAGAGCTTTTGTAGCTACAAATTCTTAGGGTTAGTCGTGATAAACATTTTAATTTTATATCAATACAATTCTTCGTCAGTTTTCAATTTCTCACTAAGTTAAAAAGTATGTTTTTAAATGTACCGCTAACATATAGTCAAATCTAAATTTTTCCCAATTCATACATTTGTCTCAACAGATTTATGCGGTTGTTCTATGGCTGGTGATAGGTTTTCGGAGAGGAAATTTTCGGCGGAAAGGACAAATACTGACCTTTTAAAGCAGCAATCTTCAGATTCCTGCTTCATCTCCAACATTATAGATAATGAAGGAAAGCAGCCGAAGAAACAAAATAATGCCGATGAAATTTTGTATGAAATGAGTGCACAGCTGTCGAAAGTTTTACAAATATTGAAACCATGTCAGGACGTGACTGGAATCTTCAGGAAGTCAGCATGTGTCTATTCACCAAGTGACCCATTTTTGTTGGAAGATCATAGCACCTCTGTTTTCAGTGCAAACCATTCCACTAAATGCTCTAATATTGACACAGAATGTGATACCTTGGATGAAGTCATAGTGAATCTCATAAACAGAGTCAATAGTTACTATCCTCAAAATTTTATCAGTGACCATAGATGTCTCAATGAAAAGGTCAACTCATCTTGCAATGAAGTCATTCGTTTTGAAAACTTGGACGATTACGGTAGTCATCTTCACCTGACAAGTTTTCAACCGAATAGGAGAACCAGCGGCCAAGAAGAATTAGAGAGAATTGAAAGGACTGTTGAAGATATGCTCGCCCAGGTTCAGTTGCAGGAGGAATTTCTGGCAAGAGATGAAGAAAATCTATCCTCCCAGAGGAACCTTCCAAGAGATAATGAAATTTTTCATTACTTTAGTCATCACCAATCTTCCGCGGGTGAAGAGCTCCAACTTCTTGAAAATAAAACTCCATCTTGTAGAACTCGTTTCTTTGATCATAGCATGCCCCGAAGTTTAAAGAAGTATGAAACCAAAGTCGGTCTGAATTCTGAATGGAAAAAGGCGAACCCAATATTAATCAGTCATGCTGAGATCCAGGAAAACCGCAACTGCCCCCAAATTAGAAATTATTCTGAGAAGACATCATTGAAAAACAGTGAAGTTCATGAACCTAAATTGTCTTATAGTCTTAGACCAGAAACTTATCTTTTCCGCAGTATTTGGTATGAAACCGAGCAGAGAAAATATAAGGAGCATGAAAATTTGTACTCAGATTCAGAATCTGCCGCTTCAGATTGCCGATTACACAAAAGCACGTTCCCTGAGAACGCATACTCCTCTTCAGAGGCAATTGACTTCAGTCTCAGTGATTCAAGTCAAGGAGATGATGCTGATTTATCAAGTTTTGCTGATAACAACGAAAGAAGATACAATCGAATAATGGCGAACAGAGAAAATTGGAACCCACGGCAGAATTCTCAGAAATTTACTGCATTGCCTACCAATTTTGAAGAAATTTCCGAGCAAAATAATTTGCATTTAATGTGCAGGAGTAATTCCTTTTCTTCATCTTCTTCTCTCTACGGTCGAGCGTCTCCAACAGCCGTTGATAATTATTACGGGAGATACGTATCCTTTGATAATATAAATGAGATACCTCTTGGCTTAGAAAGAGATGAGAACATACGATTCTTGCAACAGAGGAACAATTTTAAATCACTTCAAGTTGAGTACTTTACTCCATCTCAAGCAGCTGTACAGACAACTAACAATTCTGGTTATTGCACGTGGTACTCAGAACCTGACCTTCACCCCGAAAATAATTCCTCTCAAGGTAAGAACAAATCAGCGAGAAGAATATTGCGTTCAGATTGTTTGGACATAGTTGCGATGTTACCAGCATGATTGATAACTACTGTTCTTACTAATCGAATAACTTCAATGTGCTTTGTTTGCAATTTGCTTGACTGTTCCTTTCCATCAAATATCTGGTGCTGATTTTGAGGTGTAGAAATAACATATTTATTTTGAGAAAAATAAGCTGTTCAGTTTTTGTTCGATTTAGAGATTTTTAATCTTTATATTTTAATTAGTCAGGTCTCATCCCATTAACGACGAGTATGCGATCAAAGGACCTAGACTTCTGGCTCCAATTTGGCCAGAATGAAATCCTATCAATCCCTTTTTTACCCGTAGGATATTTTTCTGTATCCACTTCTTTTTGGTTTTATAGAGGGTTC